TCTTTTTATTATCCAGGGGCAAAATATTGATCAGTACAACCAAGCTCTTTCCACTCCAATAGAAAAAGAGTTTCCCTCTTCTTGCCACACTCACCCTAGCCTTAAGAAGGGAAGAAAGAGCCAATTAAAGCCACTGGTTTGAGATTTCAAGGAACTTGGGAGAAATGGGACCTCAGACAAGTGGGAATGTGATCTACATGGGAAATCTCTGAGATTATACCTGCTCCTCCATCGGTCTTTGTCTCCGAGACTCCTGGAGGTGCAGCCCCAAGGGAATGGCTTCTTGTTGGAAAGTGGGGCATACAAGCATAGCACTAGCAGGGACGGAGGGCTCTGTCTGTGGGAAAAGGACAATCGGTGAACTTTCAAGCCCAGAGGGTGGGGGCAAGGCTTACAATTTGAGCTAGATGTCCGGAAACTCAATATTGCCCAGAGTATCGATTACCTCACAGACTCTGATCCTCTGCCGCTCAGAGGGCAGGAGTAGCCGGGCAGGTCTTTGACCTGAAACTCTCTGTACACCTTTTAATTAACTCAAAAAAATGTGCATCAGAGACTCCTAGAAAGGGAGATTGTTCTGCCCGGTTGAAGGACACAGGAGTCATCAAGATACGAATTTGAGTATGACAAAAATATCAAGAGGTTCCCATGTCTGCCTTGGCCAGGGGAATTAAACAGCAGTGGGTTCACTCTTTAAATCACGGGGTTGGGATCATTGCTTCACACCAAATTCCTGCTCAGAGCCTCTTTTCCAAAGAGAATCATAAGAACTTTGCCCGCCCTGCTTGCTGTTTTGTATCAAACGTCTTTGGTACTCAAGCATGAAAATGTTGGAACCATCAGGTCTTAATTCTATACAGGTTGATCATTACAGATACATGGCTGAGTTACAGAAGCCTACTTAACATCTGGGAGTGAACTCTCTCCAGTCACTCTGAGCCTGCCACTAACCCTCTCCAGGCCTTCATTCAGGTATTCTCAATCAACATTTAGTGTGACCTACCGATATGCTTGACACAACTCTGGGCTCTTGGGGAACAAATAGCCAAGACATGGTCACTACCCTCAAAGGGTTTATTCTCTAGTAGAAAATACAGATGTGTGAATTACTACAATCAAACTGGTTAACATATCCATCACCTCCCATAGTTACCATTTTTTCATGTGTAGTGAGAACACTTGAGATTTACTCTTAGCAAATTTCAAGTATATAATGCATTATTATTAACTAGTCACTGTGCTCTACATTAAGCTGCCAGAACTTATTCATCTTATAACTGAAAGTTTGTACCCTTTGATCAATATCCCGCCTTTTCGCCCACCCCCAGCCTCTGGTAATCACCATTCTACTCTCTATTACCATGAGTTCAACTTTTTTTTTCTTTTTTAGATTCCATATATAAGTAAGATCATGCAATATTTTTGTCTTTCTGTGTCTGGCTTATTTCATTTAGCATAATGTCCTCCAGGTTCATCCATGTTGTCACAAGTGGCAGGATTTCCTTCTTTTTCAAGGCTGAATAATATGCCATTGCACATATAAACCACATTTTCTTTATCCATTCGTGTGTCAATGGACGCTTAGGTTGTTTCCATCTTACGATATGACATGCTTTTGATAAACATTAGGCTAAGTACTTGTGATAGCCAGCCTCCAAGATGGCCCACAATGATCCTTACCTCCTGGTATTCACATGCTTGTATAGCGCCCTTCTACAATGAATAGGGCTGACATGTGTAACTAATAGGATTTGTGGAAAAAATGGTGTGTGACTTCTGAGGCTAGGCCATAAATGATGTTATAGCTTCCACCTTGCTCTCTCTTGAATCAGTCACCCTAGGGAAATCCAGCTGCCATGTAGTAAATGCACCCGAGAAGCCCTGTAGAGAGGTCCACATGGAGAAGAACTGAGGCCTCCCACCATTAACCAGTGAGGAAGTGAAACCTTCTGCCAACAGCCGTGTGACTCAGCCGTCTTGGAAGGAGAGCCTCCAGTTTTAGACAAGCCTTCAGAACACTGCAACTTCACAAGAAACCTCCAGCCAGAACCACTCAGCTAAGCTGTTCCCAAATACCTGATGCAAAGAAACTGTGTGAGATAGTGTTTATTGTTGATTTAAGCTACTAACTTTGGGGTAATTTGTTATGCAACAAAAGATAACTAATACAGTGCTTGTGTTCATTATCTATTGAATCCTCCTGTCAATTCTATTGAGTATTTATTCTTGCCCCAACTTTACAGATGAGGAAACTGGGATTTAGAGAGGTTAAAATAAGAAGCAAAGTCAGAGCTGAAATCGAAGACTTCTGGCCTTTGAAGCCTGTGTTCTTACCTCTGTTCAGTAAAGTGGTTTTAGTGCAAATGTAGACAACTATACAGGGAACAAAAGGTCATAGTGGGAGAAGTAGTGAGTTCTACCTGGAAAGTCTGGAATTAGAGGTGAGAAGGAGGCAGGCAGGCAAGACTTGTTAGAGGATGTAAGACTTGCAATGGAAATGAAGGGTGAGCAGATGTTCCCCAGGTGGGCAGCAGGGAGAGGGATTTCAGAGGGAACATCGTTAGCAGAGGCATGGAAATGCCAACAGCCTGGGGTCTTCAGAACCTGCCTGGAGTTTCTAGACGTAGAAGAATCAAGGTCTTGTGGCTGGTTCTCCAGGGGAAAATCTTGCTTCCAGCCCAAGATCTACTCTTGCAGTCCCAGGATCCCCGAAATCACTGGAACTGGTGCCTTTTCCACACACTGCTACCCCAGTCCCTGCTTTCGATTAACTCAAATCCCCTTTAAAGATTTTATTTATTTTATTTTTCCCCCCAAAGCCCCAGTGGATAGTTGTATGTCGTAGCTGCACATCCTTCTAGTTGCTGTATGCGGGACTCGGCCTCAGGATGAACGGAGAAGTGGTGCCTCGATGCGCACCCGGGATCCGAACCCGGGCCACCAGCATCGCAGCGCGTGCACTTAACCACCAAGCCACAGGGCCGGCCCTCAAATCCCCTTTAGATCCCCATTTCTTCTCTCGGTCAGTTCTCTTTTACAGACTCAGCTCCCTGTCATGTGTGAAAACCCACACCAGTTCTTCCTGGCAAGCAATGCTTCTCCTTACAAAATTGCAGTTATAATGTTTATATTTGCATTCATAACACATCTCTTGTCTACTGCAAAATATCACATGAACCTTACTTCCTTCTTTAGCAAGGTTCCTAGAACAGCAAATCAGGGAGATTCAGGGGACCAAGTGTACTGGATTTCAGAAAGGCACATCTTTTCTCATGGTAGCCTTCTAGATACATCGGTGGATTATCAATTAGAGAAGCACAGTATGCGAGATTAGTAGCTGGTTTAAGGATACGGACTATGGGTTGATTCAAGTTCCAGAAGAAAATCTATTTTGGTGTGACCGATGGCTCTGCCCTCTCCCAGGCAATATCTTTTAAATCAATAACTTGAATGAAGATATGGAAAGCAGGTTTATCCAATTCCCTAATGGCTGAAACAGGGACGGTTAGTAAACAGTGGGATGGCAGAAATGAAAACTGCATGCCTCTCCAAAGGTTGTCATAGGCCAAATCTACCAAGATGAATTTCATCCAAAATGAAAGGTCTTTTACTTGAGTTCCAAAAGTCACTGCGCAAATACACAATGGAGATTTCTGACTGGGCAGTAACTGCAAAAGGGAAAAACATTGAAGAGTTTTAGCGACGGTGAGTTAAATAGGAGCAAAGACATAGCCTGCACTAATCTGGCTTTATGTTGAGGGAGGAAAAGGAGGAGGGGCAGCTTGACTTGGAAGGTTTACTGCTGAGATTCTACAGCTCCCTACCACCCCCGGGCTGTATTTAGTAACTCACACTCCACTCCATTAAATGTGTTTGGGTTCCCAGCCCCAACCCGCTGCCCTCCCCCCAGCCTGAGCCGGGGAGCCCTTAGAAGGTAATGAGAACGCTGAGAGCTTGGAGTCCGGGAAGAGCTTGGAAACTAAAGCTCTCAGAGCGTCTCCCGCGCGGCCCTATCCCTGCTGATAAGGATGAGAGCAAGTGGGCTGACAAGTGATTGGAAGCAGGAGTTCCCAAGCCCTTTAACCCTTCCCTAGTCTGCCCGTGTGTCTGGAGTCTCTATCCATCTCCCTGTGGCTTCCTGCTGTCTGTATCAGGGCTTTTAGACTCCCTCCACCAACCTTTCTGTCTTCCTCTCCCTTTGTCCTGACAGGTCATTGAATGCTATTCTTCTACCTGGAAAACAGTTATTACCACCACCGAACACTAAGATGCAGCCCCTCCACCTTCAGGCCGCCCTCACAAGTCAGCCAGGGAGTCTCCCTTTGGTCTAGACCCGCCCTGACCCAGCGCACTTAGCCACCAGTCCTCTGCCAGTCCAGGGCCGCTGTTCCACAGCAGGAACCTACCAGGTGAATGTCAGTCCTATTTGGTGTTTGGTGGTTCTGCTGCCCTGACCGGCTGTGGAGCCCCATGGGGACCTTCTGGGGCAACCCTGAACCAGACCTGACATTGCTGAGTCATCTCAAAGGCCCTCTACTCGCCTACGTGTCACCTGGTGCATGGACAGGACTCGTACTGGGACAGATGACTAAGGGTCTGTCCCTGGCAGTGGCCGGCATGCTGAAGCTGAGAGGGAAGCTGCCCCGCTTGCTTACCCTGGGGAGGAGAATTAAGGAGAAGCCAGGCTTTCTGGCCACAGTAATTAAGTGTAAAAGAGCTTCCTTCAGTAGAATGGAATTCAGATAAACTGCTATTATCATGCAAAGCAGCTTTGCACCTAAAAGCCCTTACCCAAACAGGCAGTTTAATTAAATCCCTAATCTCCTCTGGCCTGTTTTGACCCCTTCCCTATACCCGCCCCCATCCCACCCCCACCCCCACCCCCGCACTGATTTGGGAACTTCAAGATTCTGTTTAAAACACTTAATCAGTAAGCATGAAAAACATACCTAAGAAAATGATGGGTCTGGGGTCCTCTTTGAGGGTCTGGTCGCTGTGTCTTAGGGCTTTAGTTCCCTGAGGCTCAGATAGCCGTGATTGGGGTGCTGGGTGCCGATGGCAAGGGTGAGCACAATGGTGGTGATACTGGCAAGGGCGGTGGTAACGGTGAAGTGAGGGGAGTGGGCATGGCCTTGAACAGGAGGAGCCCCACTGGCTCCTGCTCAACCCCAGGAGGCTGATGCCCATTTAGGGTCCACCCCACACCATGAAAAGTCTGCAATCCCACCACCCATAAAAAAGTGGGTAGCAGCTCTAACAGACTTGGAGGTAAGGACCCTGGTGTTAAACTAGAAGAGTCAAGGATGTACAAATTGACCTTCCCAGCGGTGTCCCCATTTGTGAGGCTGCACTGGCCACTGCTGTGAACCCCAGGAGGGACGCCAAGCCTGTTAGTGAGAACCGAGTTCTCTGGGGAAAGCCTGCAGCAATGATTTGGAGTTTAGGCTCTCTGCTGCAGGTAGAGGGAGAGATTAGGATAAAGGAAGAATGGAATGGGGGGGAGGGGCAAGACTGGGGAGAAGGGCCAGCCCAAGAGCACTGATAGAGAACAACCCAATTAGGGTAACTTCTAACATCTGCAAAATGCTCTAGAAGTTTGTGCCTTCATGTAGGGAAGGAAGGAAAGGCAATCAAGTTTCAAATGCCAGCACCATGGCCTGTTATCTCTTCAATATCAACCTTAAAAGGTAAATCTTCTCTCCTCCCCACTCCAGGGAGAAAACTGAGATGCAGGGAGCCAGGATTCAGTATGGCCCACCATACTGAAAAGTTGATGCTCTTTCTGCTAAACCACAGATCAGCAGCTAGGATTATAATGTTGAAGGGGGGATTAACCACCCGAAAATACTCATCGCATCTCCCCTCCCTCCTGCAGCAAGAACATTTCCATCCTGAAACAATCCATTTCCTCTGAGCGAGAGCAGGAAGGTCTCAGCAGAGAGGAGGGAATCAGCGCTCAACCCTGAGGATGTAGCACAAGGGAGCTGGGCTTGTAGGGGGCTTCTTGGGGTTCAAACCCAAGAGGAAGAAGAGCCCCAGAGGAGAGTTTTCTTCACAGGAAAGGAGCTTCGGGGGCTGTGGGGGGGAAGGGGCATCTGTAAGTCATATAACAAACACCAGACCTCTCCATTTTATACCTCATTCCTTTGGTGGGGGCGAACAGAGGACCCATCTCTATTTGGGAAACAATGAAACTCAAATCACCCTGAACCCTGCACTTTTTCTGTTAATTGTATGGACTTCATTGTGCCTGGAGAATGCACGAACTTTCTTTAGGGGAAGTTATATTTCTGGAAATAAGACTCTGTGGATTCATGAAACTTTCCTTTTTCTTGGGGGATTCCCTACTTCCTCGTATGGTGGGGTTTCTTTGCAAAGAGAAGGAGCCCTTTAGGGAGGTTCCGATAAATCTTATGAATGAATGAGTGAAGATGAGGGTGTGGCAGCACAAGACCCAGACTGTGGGAGCTCCCAAGCCCTTCAATTCTTTAGTCCTGAGCAAGTTCTGCCCAGCCGGCCTGGTGGTGGCCACCCTGCTCTGAAGCCAGGTGTTTCCAAAGGTCATCCACTTGGAATAACAGGTGCGGCTGTTTTGACTTCAGAAAGACAGCCTAGGCCAGAGGAAGACTTCTTGGCTCTAGGGCTGATGTGAGTGGGTTAAGAAAGTGGGATTTTGCACAAGGTCTGTTACAGAGTCCTCTGTCTCTCTTATAGCAAAGACAACAGAGAAGAATTTTAAAAGGCTGTCTTGGTCTCCAGAACCCCTCTGGAAGCAGATGGCATGTCAACAGGTTCCAGGGCAGGCCCCAGAGGCCCCAGACCTGGGAGACTTATTGGAATGTAATTACCCTAAGTGCTGGCTGTTAGGATGAAAAGGCAGGAATGCAATTATGGAAGGAGCATGCAGTGAGCTTTCATTGATTAACCTGTCCCGTCTGATTCCATTCCCTACTGGGGTGATTTTGGGGCCCTGAGGGTTGCCCTGTGCCCTAGGGTTACGAGAAAGAAAAACAGTCACTGCAGAAAGCAAATGCCCAAAACAGGATTTCGTGAGCTTCAGGAGGGCCTGTGGACCCTGAAATTGACCAGGAAATGTACTTGAGCAAAATGCAAAATGTGCATTTTCTAGGAAGAGGCTCTACACTAATCATGTGCTTACAGAGCTCTGCAGCCCCCAAGAGGTTAAGAACCACGGGGTCAGAGGAGTGAAAGATCAGCAGGGTTGTCAGAAGCCTTCAGGAAAAGTCCGTTCAGTTTTCAACTCCAAATGGCCATGATCCATCTGAGTGCAATTCTGGCTCTACCACTTACCAGCAAGTGACTTAGCCTCTCTGGGCCTCAGTTTCCTTTGTAAAATGAAGGTAAAAATACCTACATCCTGGGGTTGGTGAGAGAATTAAATGACATAAAGAATGCAAAGCTCTTAGCCCAACATTTAGCCTTTAGTAAAGCTTTCAATAAATGGGAACCATTTTTATTATGATTATCTATTAAAGTTCAGAAAATAAAGTGAAACATACACACGTACTCTTCTGAGTGGTCTTTATTTGTTTTATTTATTGTGTGTCTATGTGTGTGTGTGTGTGGTGTGTGTGTGTGTGAAGAAGATTAGCCCTGAGCTAACATCTGTCACCAATCCTCCTCTTTTTGGTGAGGAAGACTGGCCCTGGGCTAACATCAGTGCCCATCTTCCTCCACTTTATATGGGACGCCGCCACAGCATGGCTTGACAAGGTGCGCGCCAGGGATCCGAACCCCAGGCCACCACAGCGGAGCGCACGCATTTAACTGCTACGCTACCAGGACAGCCCCCAACTTCTTCTGAGTGGTCTTTTAACCCCAAACTCACAGTCTAGATGCCATGGGAATCCCCAGGCAAGACCCTCCTCCAAAACTGAGTGGGCCCATGAGATCCAGGGTCTCCAGACACCACTTCCTCGAACTCTCCCCAAAAGGGCACTTCTCCCCTGGAAGGCACCAGGATCTGGCCACACTGGGAGACAAGAGCTTCTGGAAGTGGAGGGACATCAAGCGTCTGGGGGGTGCCAGTGCAGTGGAGGGGGTGTCTGGGCCTGAGCTGGAGTTATCACCAGCCTGCCTCATGGAGAGAAGTTTCTTGAAATTTCAGTCTCCAAAATGGTCCTGCCTGTTGGGATGATATAGTCACCCACTCAGTTGAAATGGACTTCTTGTCCTAACAGGCCCTAAAATGGGTCAAATCCAAGGCTCAGCATCTGCAGAATGCAGAGTGTGGGACTACGAAAGGAAAAACCAAATCTTTCCTCTTTCTCTCTGTATTAAGCATGTCTTTTTATTTTCTGTATTTTTGATGCTTTGACTGTGGCCTTGCTGACACTGGAGGGACTGCCCCTCCCAGGGTTAGCCAATTCCTAGAGATAGTAAAAGACTCACCTGCCAGCAGCCTTTCATATGCAAACCAACCAATCCAGAGTCCATACACCCAACCACCTCCTTTACTGAGCTCTTATACTCCGAACCAATATCCCCTACCCTAATCCCCCCAGGGCATGGGACCAGACCACTAGGAACAGCCCCTATGCCCCAGAACCCATTGAATTATTCAAACTAACCAATCCTAAATCTGCTTACCCTGCCTGCCCATTCCTTCCTGTGGAAACCACAATAAAGGCTCTTGCCCACATTTTCCCTCACTCCCTCTGCCTCCTGACCGACCTTGGTGCTTCCACATGAGGCCACCTCCATGATGTGGCATGCCCCCTTCTCTTGGGATCTATGAGTGTAACAAACCATCTTTTCAATGGCAATCGTCTCCTGATTTGTTGGCCGCACCACACCTGAAAAATAATAAAACCTACATTTTAAAACACCCTCTTCCCCTCACACCTTCCCCTCCTCCAAAATCCTCAGAGCTCTCCTCCCTCAGAACCTACAGGCTACCCCAGGCGTCTTCCATCCCAGTCCCAATTGCTCTGAGCTCCTTCCTCCATCCCACCCCTGCAGCCACAGGCCCCTGCTCCTGAGCCAAAGCCCCCTCCACCTCTGGGGTCAAAAGCAGTGCAATCCCAACTCTAGCAGGGAATTCTAGAGGTGAGGGCCCTGGGAGGGTCTTTCCTCCTCAGTTCCCAGGAGAGAAAAGAAGAAAAGAGCAGCGGTGGAGCTGGCTCTGGGCTGTATACTTGTTTATTCATCAATCATTCATTTATTCATTAATCATTCATCCCCCCACCCATCAATCATTCATCTGCTTATTTATTCATTCAGTTTGTTTGGACCTCTTCCTTGCTCTGGTTGCCACAGATGGTGGTCCTCTCCTGTTTGATCTGTCCCCTGTTTCTGTGGCAGCTGCACAGCGGAGGCCCTCTGACATGACTTTGTCAGTTACCTGGCTGAGAGGATGTCTCCCTCTCAGAGGAGCCTGAGACAACCGAAGGGATGGTGCAGAGCTGTCCCCTGCCTGGAAGACCCCTTCCATTGCAGGCTCCGGCCTTGTGGTCCATAGGTCGGTGGTAGGGGTGTGGAGGGACTGTAGAGGGGTCTGCTGGGCCAAGCAAAGAATAATGCTTCTGGGCATGACCCACAGCTGCTTGAAAACCACTTTTCTGGGAGGCAGGGGTCTACAGGAGACTCTAAGCCTCCGGGCCTGGCTGTGAGGCCTGGGCTCTGCGCTTTGAGGGGTCCAGAGAACACGGTATGGAGGAAACTGGGGCTAGAGTTTTAGAGGCCTGTTAGCCTCCTGACAGGTCTCCCAGCTTCCAACCACCCCACCTCACCTCACCCCAGAAAGTCTATCCTCAGCCAGCAGCTAGAGACCCTTTTGTGTATGTCAGATCATGTCCCACCTCTGCTCAAATCCCTGCCACGACTGCCCGTTCACTCAGAGCAGAAGCCAAGACCCCAGAGGATCTGGTCCCACTCGCATCCCACTGCCTGCCTCCTTTCAGGCCCCATTGGCCTTGTCCTTCCTCCACTCGCCAGCCACACTCCTACCGTAGGGCTTTGCCCTGTGTTATTTCCAGTTGTCTCCTCGGGAATACTCTCGACCCCTGGGGCACTCTTGAAAGTGGCTCACTTTCTCATCTCTTTCAAGTCTTGGCTCAATTGACACCTCCTCCATGAGCCTACCCTGACCCATCACATTTAAAATTGCAAACCACACACACAGCACACTCAACCCCCCTTACTCTTTAGCACTCATCACCTTCTAACACACTATATAATTTTCTTATTATTTCTACTGTTTATTGTCTGTCTCTGCGTGCTAGAATGTAACCTCCAGATGGGCAAGGAGTGTCTATCTGTTTCCTTCACTCGTGGATCCCAAGGGTATACCCATGGATGCCTGGTACATAACAGGAGCTCAGTAAAACATTCCTTGGATGAAACGATGAATGAATGGCTGGGCTCTGGGAAGCTCTGAGGGTGAAGCTCATGAAGTCACAGTCTGTGGAGTTCGGGGCTTTCTGGGGTAGAATTTAGAAGGCCCACAGTGGCCTCTATCACCTGTGCTGAGGAGAAAGGAGCCAGGCAGATCGCAGGCTGCCAGCCTTCTCAGGGAGGTAAGGTAGACAGCAGCATCGATGGGGATTGTGCTAACTAGAGATGCCAGCTCTGTGCCGCTCTGGGGCTGGCCAGCGCTCTGGATGTCATTAGCTGATTTGTTCTGCTCTGCAGAATGTACTATTCGTATTTAGGCAGAAAAAACAGCTTTCGGTCCTCATGCCCTTTCTTCTGTGAGCTGTAGCACATGGCCTGCTTATTATGAATTAATCCTCTAAAGAGCATGTTCGTTATTCTAATTTAATTGTGCTTCGTTTCAGAAAATAACTAAACCCAGTGCGGAATAAACGCCAACGCTGATCGGTTTTCAAGAAGTTAACCTAAGACAAAATCCTGCTAGAGGGCAGCAGCAATTTGGAATCATTAAAGGGAACCCATGTAAATAATAAAAACAAAACTAAAATGCAGAATTAAATTAAGGAATAGGAAATTAAATTTGTGAATCTGATCTGAAATTGAGGCCCTATATGCACAGGCTTACCCTGGCTTGGCTCTTTGCTCAGGAGCACTGGGGTGGGGAGGTTCTGCAGAAGTTCCCAGACCAGGGAAGTGGCAGCAGGAGGAAGCTCACGGGCCTCACCTCCCAGGTGACAGGGTGCCGCCCTGGGAAGAGGGATGTGGGCTGGAGGGGGAGAGAGGGGGCTTCCCTCCTATGGGGTCCCCTCTGAGGAAGATGAAAACCACATTGTCACAGCTACATCTGGATGACTTCTGCTGAGCCCTGGTGACTGGTGAAGGAGAACCAAACACCTGCAGCCAAGAGTCTGTGCTGCCATGCTCGAGGATGCACAGGAAATGAGGCAGATGGGTGCAGGGTGGCTGTGGCAGAACTGCTGGGAGCATTCAGCCCCAGGCAGAGCAGCCCCTCCAGCCCTGCTCCACCCCTGTGCCCCGGGCACCCTCCCACAGGTGACCCAGCTCAGGACAGGGACTGAGGGACTTGTCCCCTGCCCTGGTAGTGGCCCCTAAGCAGAGTCCTGATCTCTCTACCAACACCGTGGGAGCCCAGTTCCAGATGCTAGAGACCCAGATTCCAGACAGTCATCTTGGCAGGTCAGGCCACCATTGGACAAGAAGAGGAAGGAAGAGAAGATGGGTGGGGATGGGAGAGAGCAGACTTGCAGACTTTAAGTTGTCTAAGAGTTAGAGGTACCAAGGGCAGAGTTAGTACCATGGCTCAGACTTCATTCTGCAGTTTTCCCGAATTTTTAGACCCTGTCCCTGGGATGTCTTCTCTCTTTCTCTCCTTAGGTTCTCCCATCCCCACCCCCATCCCCACCCAGCTCTCTTCCTCCGTTTCCTCCCCCTCTCTTCTCAAGTGAAAAGAGCCCAGCCTGCTGAGTCAGACAGACTAGTTTGGTCACAGCTCTTTCTCTTACTTGGTACTGGAGCTTGGGTGAACTATCTTGCCTTTCTCAACCTCAGTTTCTTCATATGTAATAATAATATCTGCCTCCTCATTTTGTTACGAGGAGTAAATGAAATAAAGCCCCTGGCACAGAGCAGGCACTCAGGCTTCTGCTATTTCATTTTCTCCTTCATCAGCATGTGATCTCACACCACTCTCCACACGAAAATACACACACATGCGCACACGTGTATGCATAGGCTCCATCCTCGTCGAAGGCCCGAGGCTGTGTTTCTAGAGCACCACAATTAGTTGAAAAAGAAAAGTCCAGTCAATCGACTGCTTGCCTTGATTCACAAAGGCAAACATTCAAACAGATGGCCATATCTCAGTCTCCGAGTGAAGTTTTCCATTTCCATCTTCCTTTTGGGTTCTACATAAACAAATTAGCCACCTTGACCCTTTTTTGAAACCAAGAGGGAATATAAGCAAGTAAAAAAAAAAACCACAAAGTCACTTTTTTCTTGTTTAATTTGCATCCTGAAGTCCCGACCAAGAAAATCATGCACATAATTTAGGCCACAGTGTTGTTGATTGGTCAGTTAATTAAACAGTGATAGCACCTAAAAATATCAAACATGGAGGTGACAAGGGCAGAAAGGGCCAAGAGTTTTCTTGAATTCCCTGGCTGCTTCCCCCGATCTCACTTTACTACCCGCCCCAGAGATACGTTAGATCACTTGCCCATCCCATGATCTGTACCTGTAAATTGGGGCCCCATGACATACAGCCAGTCTCGGTCTCCCAGAACAAACCCAGAAACCCCTATTAAAGAAAAATTATTCATGACACTTGTTAAAGACCGTAAGGCAGACTTCACTCAGAGGGGGCTGCTACCACGGGGTTTTGTAGTAGGGGAGAGAGATTGGGCTCAACTCCGAGCACAACAAAGAAAAGTAGAAATTTATAGCCAAGGAATAGAGTGGGGGGTCAGTGGATGGAAATTACTAAGAGGGGACAGCTAATTACTGTGTGGGGACAGCTTCGCCATTTGACCATGAAGGCTCAAATCATGTCTACCCAACAGAAGATGTTCCAAGGGGGCTGCACTTTAAAGGGCCAGACTGGTTTCTCTCAACCAACCAAATTCCCTTCCATATAAAGCCCATATGGCTCGGGCTTACGTGACCCACCCACACAGAAAATCACCCATGGATCCTTTTCCCCACTGGATAATAATAATATTGTTGATAATATTAGCGATAATAGTCAACACTCAGTAAGAGCTTCCTCCTTACCAAACATTTATTCTAAGTGCTTTGTAAGAACTAGCTAATCTAATACTCACAACAAACATGTAAGATAGGTATTATTGTCCCCATTCTGTAGACAAGGAAACTGAGGTCCAGAGAAATTGAGTAACTTGCCCATTATAACAACAAAACATAGCAGTGTGCTAAACTCTGGAGCCTCCTAACCACAGAACTTCCTGCTGGTCACCAGCTCCCCTGTCTGCTAATGTATCCATAGTGACCCTAAATCTAGGCCACATAGAAAAGAGAGTTCACTGGGCCTTCAGTAACTCACATCTGGAAAGCAGGCCTATGTTTTCAAAATGCCTTCACACCACTTTCTACCCTGGTCCTTAAGGCTGGGTCTTCGTGGTCATCTTTGCCTTTTGGCAAATGTTGTGGCCTGGCCTCTGTGGGATGCATGGTTTATAGACAAGACCATGCTTTATTCCGTTTCATGCATTGGCTTCTTACAGCCTGTGAGGGCAACTCAGGCTTGGCATCTGGGAGAATGTTCTTGGAGGAAACAGCCTTGTCAGTGTGCAGGTATTCGTTTAAATTCCAGATCCTGGTTTTTAAGACACACATCTGCAGTGGGCATATGTATTGTGATAGATGCAAACAGAAATGGTTTTCCATTGTATCTGTATTATTAGATTTGACCTACCATTGAAACAGCACAGAAAGAGTGGAAAATTAAAGGTGATTTGATATTAGCCTCCTATTCATATTAGAACAAGTAACTGCTCTTGTGGTTTCCCTCACAGAGGTGTCTTTATTCATTTGACATGCCTTTAATAACTAATTCTAGTTGTCTGGTTGCCAAGAAAGATTTCCTACGGGCAGACTTAAAAGTGACTCGGAACTCTTTGCATACCCCGCTTCAAATGATCCCAGAACAGCAAACATTCAGCTTCCCTCCTGACTTCTGAAGTGTGGGAATAACATGAAAGAACGAACAAGAATCACTCTGCAGCCTGCACATGCTAGGAGCTGAGCTGTCTGGCAGAGGTTGAGGCTGGGTCTACATGGACCAGGCATAGTAAGATTTGAAAATAATCTGAATTTGATCCGTGGAATCAGCCAAAATAAATGATTTATTTCAAGAAAATAAATCTACTTTGGGGCCAGAATGATCCAGGTCAGTCATAAACAGACTGAGTTTTCCTTTGTCTGTGTAGATCTGGAGTGGGCAGAGAAAGACAGGGAGACTACCGCAATTGCTCTCATAGGATCCCAACCAAAGACGACACACTATAAATATGTATAAATATTCACTACAGGGATTATTTATTCATCTACATATGCCAGGCTAAGTGGATGACATATATAAACTCATTTAATCTTCACAACAATCCTACTTATGTGGTGATTGTTCCCACTTTACAGATGTGAAAACTGAGCATCTAAGATATTAAATGACTTACCCAGGACACACAGTTTTTGGGAGCAGAGGTTGACTTTGTCCACTAGCATTTCCCTTTTCCTCCTGGGCATGTAGCTAGATGCCATTTCCAGGCTCCCTTGCAGTTAGACGCAGCCATGTACTCAATTCTGACCAATAGAAAGTGGGTGGAAGTGACATAAGTCATTTCCAGTTCTGGCCCATAAAACCTGCCCATATACAATTCTCTCTTTTCCTCTCCAGTGGCTGAATGGAGAGGATGCTGAAGACCTAGAGGAGGATAGAATCTGAATATTGAAGAATCTAGGGTCTACAATAATGGCTTTGAGCAGAGCCCCTTCATCCTCACTGTTCCTGCAGTGGACAGTGATGTGAGCTAGAAATAATCTATTGTGTTAAACCACTGAAATTTGGCAATGGTTGGTTCCAGCAGAAAGCCGAAACTGACTCACACAATTCTAACCTGCTTCCAAACTCAAGGACTCCAAAGCCCATGCTCTTGTCTGGAACTACACTGGAGTCTGATCAATCCTCCCCAAGGGACATTAGGACCCTCTAACTTTTTTTGACTCCTCCTTCTTCCTGCTCTGTCAGGCCTGAGGTGGTGATTTCTAAGCTTTCCACTTTCCTATCTATGCAGACACATTCCTGGTTTTTAAGAATCTGATCAAAGCTACTCCTTCTATCTTTTAGTTAATCCCTCCCCATGTGGGGCTCTGGCCCCTGATTGTCTTTGATATCCCCCCTCCCATACGGACACATCTAATCAGTTACTAGTGTCTCTTCCACCTTCCCCTTCCGTCTCTCTCCTCCGCCATCTCTCTGTTCTGGCCCTCATCATATCTCACCTGGTGTATTCATAACACTCTCCCAACTTGTCTCTTCCCCTCCTGCCCATCATCTTATTGCCTTCAGAAGGATCTTCCTAAAATAGATCTGGTCCCAGCATCCCCTCCATTAAATTTTCTCATATGAAGTCTATCAATATTAAAAATGTAAATGTCGGGCCCGGCCCGATTGCTGAGAGGTTAAAGTTCCGTGCGCTCCACTTTGGCGGCCCAGGTTCGCAGATTCGGATCCCAGGCGTGCACCTACTCCACTCACCAGCCATGCTGTGGTGGTGTCCCACATACAAAAAAATAGAGGAAGATGGGCACAGATGTTAGCTCAGGGCTAATCTTCCTCAAGCAAAAAAAAAAAAAAAGCAAATATCCTTTGACCAAGCAATTCTACCTCTATGAATTTGCAGACAGATGCACAAAATGATTTACACACAAGGACAGATATTTGCTGCATTATTGTTTGAGGTAGCAAAAGACTGGAAACACCAAATGTCCATCAGTTGAGTCACTAAACAAATTATGGAACACAATGTCCTTCACCTAAAAATGTCCAAGATCTGTGGTTAAGTAGAATAAGTAAGGTACAAGTCAGTGTATACAACATGTTAATATTTGTGTTTCAAAAGTCTTGGGGAGGGGCCAGCCCAGTGGCGTAGTGGTTAGGTTTGCACACTCCCCTTTGGCAGCCCGGGGTCCGTGGGTTCTGATCCCGGGAGTGGGCCTACACACCGCTTGTCAAGCTGTGCTGCGGAAGCTGTCCCACATATAAAGTAGAGGAAGATGGGCATGGATGTTAGCCTAGGGCCAATCTTCCTCAGCAAAAAGAGGAAGATTGGCAACAGATGTTAGCTCAGGTCTAGTCCTCCTCACCAAAAAAAAAAACAAGTATTGGGGAGATATATTCACACATATGTTTGTGAAGATATGGAATATCTCTGAAAGAATGCACAAGAAACTGATAAGAGCAGTTGCTTCTGGAAAGGGAACTGAGTCACTGGCAATCAGGGAGGGGAGGGAGACTTACTTTTCACTGAATATAAGTTTGTATGTTTGAAGATTCTACTCTAGGCATGTATTATTTTAAAACGTTAAAATAAAACCTGACTTTCTAGTGCTTATTTGATAAAGTCCAAATCCCTTAGTATGAAAGGAAAGATTCTCCAAGCTCTGGCTCCAATATGTTTTCCTGCTTGTTGTCTCACTCTACCGCACTGTTCTCTGAACGTTCCTTGTATTCCCCATCTCTGTGCTTTAGTTAGGTCTCTCCCTCTCCAGGAAAGTCCCGTTCCTGCTTGGCAGGAACTAATTGCATCTATTATCTCCTTCATTACGGTCCTTTATCTGACCCAGTTTGCTGCGCATTAGAGGTAGGTGTCTTTCCTATGAGATGGTGTGATGTCTTATGCATAGAAAGCGTTCAAAACACACCAGTGTCTTGAACCAAATTTATAATTCTCCATGTGTCAGCCACAGCTTCTGAGAATGGCTGGGAAGGGGGCAAGGGATGGACTCACCCTTCTTCCCAGGTAAGGAGCAGGATCTGGAATCTGCCCCATCAGGCTGAGGCTGGACGAGGTCAGTGATACATCTCAGCCTGGGACATTCTGCAAGAACAGACCTCCTTCTACTGGTTCACTCTCAAAGCCACCCTCACCCCGCATCTCTTCACTACCGAAGACCCGCCAAGTCAATGGTGCTGCAATGCTCAGGACTAAGCATTGACTCTATGGAATCGGGCTGGGGAGAGAGAGAGAGAGAGACGTCCATTGCCCTGGACCACAGTCTGGGGTTTAAACTCAGTTGTCACAATTATTTGAGGCCTATTAAGTTTATTTATGTTCCAAAGCAGGTCCACTAGAGAAGGACTATCATAGTCGTAAATATCAGGGCTGCTGTTCTCCAGACACAGCTGGGCCTCTAGGCCCCTCCCCTTCTCAGCTCTGCAGGCCCTACTTGTAGGCAAGAGCCACATGCTGAGAGTCACTGTAGTACCCATCCCCTGTCTAACCAATTTGCTGGCTCGGCCAGCACAGCACATGCTTCTTCTACACGTTTGGTTTAGCAGAAGTGTGTTTAAGCAAGACTCAGATATCTGTGGGAGGCATGGTGTCTTCCAGTCCTGCTCAAGTCAAGTGCATAAGGTTCAGGAGCCCAAGTGTCCAGGCTTTCATCTCAAAGAACCATTGGGACCTAAGAATGGGCATCGAACCCTGGGCACATCTGGAGGCCCTTCTAACCCAATCTAGAAGTCTTTAGGAGAACAAAGGACTGTGGATATGTTCTCTGAGTTCTTGGCTACGTGAGGGTTCCTTCATTTCAGCCATCAGTGTGAGTTGGAGGAGACCATTTAGTCCTAAGAGCCAGTGTTTTCCAAAGCACATCCCACTGTACACTGGTCTTGTAAGATTCTCCATGAAAAAGTAAAGAAGATTCTGCAGTCAAAAAAGTTTAATAAACACTGAATACTATATCCTCTTCTGGGGAGATTCACAATGCATATTTGCTTATTAAAGGCCTTGAGAAGTCCTGCAGTAAAGAAATGTGTTTAACTCAATGTGCTCTAAACATGTTGAACAAAAGAATCCTTTTTTGGTGATACCTCTGAGAATCCATTGGCAGGAGTGTTACAGGGAGTACATTTTTGGAAAAGCTGCCTTTGGAGATGTGTGTGTCTCCCTACCCCTCCAGTGAGTGCTTCATGAGGTTTATCTTAGTCTAGGAGGTGGAATACTTCTCAAACTTTCCCTCTCTGCTTTCTTGTTCTCAAGTCCCGCCAACACACCTGCCCAGGTGCACGTGTTCGCCCTCTCTCTGCTGGCTCTTCTCTTCTCTGTCCAGCCCAGGATGCTGGAGAAGGGAAGAGCGAGTGTCAATTTCAACGTTAACAACACATCCATTCCCCCACCTATCTGTAGTTTGGCCCTCCATCTGCACCCACTAGCTGATTTAACTTTTCCTGTCCCTTGTTTTTAAAGAGTGAGGTTCAAAAATTGCCATTTGTTCTTCTTCAAACTTTTCTCCAAGTTTACCTCTTCCGGGAAGCCTCACCTGATCAACCAGAGCATGCTGTTGGTTTACGGCAGAGGTTGTCAAAGTGTGGTCCCTGGATCAGCAGCAGCATCCCCTGGGAACTTGCTAGAATTGCAAATTCTCAAACCCCAGCTGAATTGGACACGCTGGCAGTGAGGTCCAGCAATTTGTATGTTAACAAGCCCTCCACGTGATTCGGATGCAAGCCATTAGTCTAGTGTTTTGGCAATCTCTTTCTCTGAACAGGTTCTCTTCTACCTCATTCATTTTCTGTACATGTTTTTACTTATATCACACCCAGTCCCAAAAAGGAAAGGAAATGGACAGGCAATACTGAATACTCACGTACTCGCACAATTAAAACACATTTGTGGATCAACAGTCTTCCCTCCAATAACCACACTCACCTCCCCCAGGTCTCCTTGACCATCTCCCAGATGTCAATCTCCTCCCTACTCCCTTTTCTCCTCTATTTTTCTCCTTGGCACTTATTACTATTTAATATACTATATAAGTTATAAGTTTTACATTTATTTTCTCACTCCTTCCTAGAATACAAGCTCCATGGGGGCAGGGCTTTTCCTCTATTTTGTTTCCTGCCCCCCCACCCCCACCCCACCGGCACCAGAACAGCTCTTCCCTCAATACGTATTTGTTCAATCAATGAACCTTATCATAAGGAGGCAGGCGAGGCTATTGCTGTGATGAACCACAGTTTCACTCCGAGCTCCAGGCAGTCAAAGAGTTACAAAGATCTCTTTATCTAATAACAGGAAATCAGACACTCCTGGAAAGGACAGAATCAGCTGAGACCCTCCTTTTTGCCCTGAGGGTCCTTGGGTGAGGGACAGAGCTATTCCTGATAACGTGTCCCTGGAGGTTCTGCAAATGGCTGTCAGAGCCGCCCGCCCACAGGAGACCAGCTCCCACCCCAGCTGATTTGATCTTTCACTCAGAGGAAAGTTCTCTTTTCTCTCTCCAGTGAGAAATGGGCAGACTCCTGACCACAGATGTCTGTGCTGAACTCATCTCCTGGCAGGAGAAGCAAAAGGGCACAGAGTACAGGAAAACGTCTGCTCATTTAATCAGCTTTGCGGGTTAAATGCGGTCGGGCCGGAGGGGAGGAGCGGGGCGAGCATGAGACCATGTCGAGTTCTTTTTCAACAGGCTGGAAGGGTAGCCCCCACCTCGGAAGAATGTATCCAGCTCTGATAAATTTATAAAGTATTTGACCTTTAATCAATCCTAATATTTTCAATCCACAGAGCCTTCTTAAACGCCTGCAGCCCTGCCCCCGGACCCCTATTCATCACAATTACTGCTCCAACTGTCGGAGGCAGTGCATGAAACGGCGCATGCTGACGTCCAATATTTTATCACTAATAAAGAGAAACATCCCAAGTATTTGCACAGTTCTGATACTTTCCAGCCCTGAGCCCAGGAAAAGGGGGGGCATGGTGATTTATACTGGCTGCCCAGCATTGTTAATTGGCCTTCTCGGTCGGAGCCTCTGGGACCACTGCTTTTCCCTGCTTCACAGCCAGGGACGTGGGTGTGCAGAGAGCCGGAAGGCGCAGCAGGCGGCCTGGGAGGGGCCTGCAGAGCACACAGTAGGCCCTTACTCAGCATCTGGTAAGTGGTGTGAAGCACAATAAAGAGCAATTTTTAAAAATCACAATTTGGCAAGTGCTTGCCTACACTGGTGGCTTTGTAAACAGATCCAATGTTTATGAGGACTCTTGTTCCAGTTGTTGCCACGCTGTGATCCGCCTCCGGTTCTGTGTCTCACCTTCCCGCCTCCCCCATCCCCAGGCAGTGTCTGCCGCCCAGCCCCAGCCCTCCGCAGTTCGAGGGCCTCCCAGATCCAAGCAGACGGAAGCTCAGTTTCCAGCCACCACGTTCAGACGGTCCACAGGCTGCACGTGGACATGGCACCCAAACATCTGGATGAGATGTAAATAAAACAAGCAGATGTTTCTGCTTCACTACAGCAGGTGCCTTGGCAGAGCCCTCAGCCTCGGGCTATAAGGGAAGGGCCCTCTGGAGTCCAGGACCGGGAGGGGGTTGGGGGTGGCTGCACACCATAGTCCTTATCAAGGAGCTAGTCACTTGAGCCTCACAGAGAGGAATGAGCAAAGAAAGCCAGACAACCCTAGGAAAAAGGTGCTGGCAACGGACAACAGCATCTGTGTGGACCGGATGGAAGGTTTGGGAAGTAGGGGGCAGGAGGAGGGATAGGAAGAAAGAGGTCCTAACCTGAATCCATGGGGAAAAGAGCTGATGCCAAATCCCTCTTTAATCTCCTTGTGACAAAGTCTTTCTGAGCCTCCACATTCCACACCACTGCCTTCCAGCAAAAGAGACTACCCTGAAGAAACGAGAAATGGCCTCCTTCTCCCCCTGGAGGGGCTAATACGCAAGAGGAGTTGGGCTCTAGGGACAGAGCATGTCCTGGGGCTTGGACGACCTGGGGCTTAAAAAATGGCACAAAAGTCCCCCTTCTCACCCCATCTTCTATCTACTAGGAGACCAAGGGGCAGTCACATTAGACTAATAGAGAGGGGTGGAGATACTTGTGAAAAGGATAATTGAGGAAGGACAGGGGACAGAGGGCCAGGAAAAGGAGATTAATTGGTTACCACTTGCCTTCCCTTCACTCCTTCCATCCTCTCTACCCTGACTCGTGTGTCACGCTAACACATTCCCCCAGCCCTGTGAGTAACACTGAACACACTCCCCAATCCTGTCCCTGACTTCCCCAGCCTCTGGCCCAGTCTTCTCCTCCACTCCTCTAGTCCTGGGTGTAACTCGGACACCCTCTCCTGGTCCTCTCCCCTGCCCCAGTCTTGGGTGTAACATTAACATACTTCCCCAGTCCTGTCCCCTACAGTCCCACCCCTTGGGTGAAGCACTGCCAGGACACTCCTTTGGTACCCCCATAGACCTTATGTGTCAAACCAAACATTCCTCAGGGCTGTCTTCCCTGGGAGCAGCTTTTTTACCCCACTGTCTCCAGAAAGACTTTCAGGAACCTACAGTGATCCTTTGCCCCTCAGCCCAGCACAAACACACAAGCACTGTTGTGTGTGAGTGTGTGTGTGTGTGTGTTAAAGACAGCAGCGATTGGAGAGGGTTGCTGCTCCCAGCTCCCCCACCCACCCACTGAATATTGGATTTTGTGCTGAAGGCAAATATTTTCCTGTGACCTCAGTGTTCCTATCTGTGAAACTGAGCTACAGTTTGACATCAAGCTATCCAGTGACCGTGAGAATGGGTCTGATTTCCGCAGGGAGTTGAGAATTCAACAACTGGACTGTGGTGAGGACTGAGTGAGGCACATGTCGGGGAACGAGATTATACTTTGATAGAAAAGTAACTTTTCAGTTTTGCTTTTCTTGCTTTTTTTATGGAATGGGAAGAGCCAAACAATGCCCCAAGGCTCCGAGTTTTCCAAGCAAAGACTTTCACCCCTGATAACCACAGCAACCCCTGAAAGAAGTGGGAGCTGCCTTTCACATTTGGGGGGGAGGGAGTAGGAACCAGACACAAAGAAAACTGAAGTATGGGTGATTGGACCCCCCTTCCCGCAAGTAGCCCTGCTTTTTAGCATCATGGGCTAGAAGTTTATAGGAATTCTGGATCCATGGTTTCCTACGGTCGCCTTTACAGATCTTGTTAATTTATTACCCGTGGTTACACTTTTAATGGAAATCATGAAGAAATGGCAAAGGAAACATGAGCTAATTTTTTTCCAGTGACACATTTCACTGCTATTTAAATAGCCGTTTTGCCAAACCAAACACAGCGCTTACAGCCAGCGGTGACACATGAAGGAGATCACTGTGGCTGATCCCGCCTGCGGCATCCAGAACAGGCGAGACTTTCTCTCAGCTTCCCCGAGGGCTGGACGCCAAGGGAGGGCGGTTGGGGGAGCTGGAGCCTGGGGCACAGCTGGAGCCCCAAAACCCAGGCGACTGCAGCTCCCACTCTCTCCCACACACAGCTACTTCTCTCCGGCCTGGAGCCTTCTCCTCTCCCCGCTGAGGAGCCCTGGGGTGACTGTTTTTCCCACCGGCCTGGGAGGCCACTAGCAAGGGTTGCCTGGCTCTCACTGTTGGATGATTTGCTCAGGCCTCTAACTGGGAACATTATCGGGTTGTGTAAAACTAGAGATAGACTTTGGAGGAAGCCTGGCCAGCTTTGTCCCAGGTCCGTGGTGGCAGTGGCCATGACCATGACCATACTTGCACAGGGCGCCTTTGGTGGGCAAACCCAGAGCCTCTGACTTCTCCTCAGAAACATTGGCCTCTGACACTTTCTTGCTTCCCGGCACTGGGGCTGTGATGTCACCAAGCATTTATTAACTTTTTAAGAAGCCAGTTGAGAGCTGTGGCATTTGGCGAGAGAAAAGTTAGGGCCTAGGATGTTGGAGAAGGGGGAACAGGCCCATAGAGGCTCTGGCAATAGGTAGTGCAGAGAGGCAGTGGAAGGGGAAACCCTTTTTCATAGCGGCCATATCAGAACCTCCCCAGGATTTAAAATTGCAGTGGGATTGAAGGAAGTGAAGTGCTTAGGGGCTGACATCTGGCCCTTGGAGACCTTGGATCAGTTGTCAACCTCAGGGGCCCTGTGAGAACCCTGTGGCACTGACATTCTCATGGTGAGCAACTGTGATGAACAGCAGGGAGGTGATCCAAGAAGAGAGCATGAAATGAGGAGAGAACATTCTGGAGGGAGGAGCCCTAGCCAGCAGGAACTGGGGTTTCCGACCCACCCAGGCCCTTCTGGATCTTGAACAAGTCTAGTTACCTTTCCATTTCCCGCAGTGGGATGCTCTGTGGCCCCCAGACCCCCTGAGAGTGTCAAGGTGGGCAGAGCTGAGGGGCTATGACAGAATTCGGGCAGCAGGCCTGCTGGCATACTGGGAGAAACTGCTCTCCCTTCTCTGCTTTCCAGGGAGAAAACACTTTAGTGAGGCTCCAGAGAGAAGTTAACTGTCGTCTTCCCTATGCCAAAAAGTATATTAAATTCACTGACCACATTTTTCCAAACCCAAGTGCGGAGGACATTAGATGCAAGGCACACTGGCTGGGCTCTGGTGCGCTGGGCACCCCACACATTTCATTTTGCATTATTAATATTTAAACCAAAGCAGCTGTTCTCTGCACACACAGAGCCCAGAGCCTGCCCAAGGCTCCTATGGAGACTTCTCCCTTGGGCCAGATGCACCAGCCCCTTGTTGACCCTCAGGCCTTGGGCCTTCTGGGGCGAATTTCCCCAAGCAGCCATTCATTGATCTACGATGACATTTCTGGGCAAGAGGGCTTGGTGGTTCGTTGGCAAGAGCCGATTCTGTTGATCTGGCTGAGCTGAGCTTCAGTAGGGCCCACCCTGAGCAGATATTTGCCAGGGGTGAAAGTATCTCTTGGA